GAGTTCGAATCCTACCCATGTCTCAGATATTGCGCCCTTGGGAAAGGCACTTTACACGACTTTCCTCACTTACTCAGGTGAAAATGAGTACCTAGCTTCGAGTAGGGACGTCCCTCGGATAGGATGTTAAATGGAGGTCCCGGGTTTGGGGAGAGTCACACCCCACACACGTTAAAGAACCCACCGCACCGTAGGGGACCTTCCCGATGTGAGTGGTTCAAACCTTACAGCCCGGTCTTACGCAGCTTGTACTTACATATACAAAACTTGTGTGTTACGCCTAAAGGCAGTTTACCGGCTATGCGAAACAAAAAAATATGAATTCAGTAGAAAATATTGTATTGTGATAAAGAATAGTGATCGTTTGCCTACTCCTACAAACAACCATTGCAGGAAAAATAATGTAATGCAAATATCAATTTATCATTCCAATCCATTTATCTCAGATTCATTTTAGTCAGGGCTATGCTTAGCAGTTGAGAAGACCAGGACGGAATGTACAACAAAAGTTTCATCATTCCCCCTGAAATATGTACATTTTCATTACATGCATCAGTATCTGTATAGCCAGCGTAACTACATGTACATTGTACCCTTTTGTTTAATTTCTTAATTGTTCCTTTTCTGCTGTCCTTTCTTTATGAGTTTTAAACACTCAGTTAAATGATTAAGTGGTTAAGTACACGTCAGTTGTTACCAACAATACGTTACTGAGATTTCACTTGAAAGTCACATGAAAGCTGCGTTGGTGGGCGATTAAGTATTAGATATTTAATCCAAGGTGCCAGAGGCTCCGTCCAAAGTTCTTTTCATAATCCTATTGCCGCAAATCAGGATTATTTCAAGCAAACAAGTTTGCAGAGCAATCAGTTACAAACTGGCACGGACTTACGATGATGAAAAAGCCACAGTATTGCTTCTTGATTACTTACCTTCAGTTGCTAGACCTTGGAACGTAAACATCAGAGAGAAGTTGACTTTCATCTCTTCCAAACATACTTGTGCCTAAAGTGCTGTTTTAGCGCGGGAAGTTACACAAAGTTAATACGATTCTACTCACTTGAAAGAGCAGAAACTTTGTGGGCATATATATTAGGTCGGAGACCAAACTGCGCAGTTGAAGGACTTGCCTCGCCAGAGTTGTCCCAGACACTTTGAGCTGGCTTCTTAGCACAATCTTCCTATCGGTGTTTGTGTATTAATACAGTTCTGCACGACATTTGTTTCTATCTACACTTGTAGGTACGTCTTTGTCTTCTATATCTGTCGGACTTTGTGTACTATACTGTGCATCTTGGCGGGCTTTTCTCAGTGTAACTTTGCACCACAGCAGACATACAAACTCACTATATTTGAGGCATGAACTGAACTGGGGGGAGGCTGGCATTGCAACTTCTATCGTAGTGTCCACATGTTCTCTCCTACATTGCCTTGAAGTCCATACATATGAATGCAGGTACTAGATGGTTGAAAATATTGTATGTTCATAAAGAATAGTGATTGGAACGAAGACGTTTTGCCAACTCCTACAAACAACCGATACAGAAAATGCTAAGCAGTTGAGAAGACCAGGAAGGAATGTACAAAACTTCCATCATCTCCCATAATATATGCACATTTTCATTACGTGCATAGTATCCGTATAGCCAGTGTACCTACGTGTACATTGTACCCTTTAGTATAACAAAACTGACCAGCTTCAAGAAGTTTATTAATTGCCCATTTTCTGCTGTCCTTTGTTTTCTAGTTTTTAAACACTCAGTTAAATGATTAAATGGTTAAGTACACGTCAGTTGTTACCAACAATACGTTACTGAGATTTCACTTGAAAGTCACATGAAAGCTGCGTTGGTGGGCGATTAAGTATTAGATATTTAATCCAAGGTGCCAGAGGCTCCGTCCAAAGTTCTTTTCATAATCCTATTGCCGCAAATCAGGATTATTTCAAGCAAACAAGTTTGCAGAGCAATCAGTTACAAACTGGCATGGACTTACGATGATGAAAAAGCCACAGTATTGCTTCCTGGCAACAATTACTTACCTTCAGTTGCTAGACCTTGGAACGTAAACATCAGAGAGGACTTGACTTTCATCTCTTCCAAACAAACCAGTGCCTAAAGCTCCTTTTAGCGCGGAAAGTTACACAAAGTTAATAAGATTCTACTCACTTAAAGAGCAGAAACTTTGTGGGCATATATAATAGGTTGGATACCAAACTGCGCAGTTGAAGGGCTTGCCTCGCCAGAGTTGTCCCAGACCCTTTGAGCTGGCTTCTTTGCACAATCTTCCTATCGGTGTTTGTGTATTAATACAGTTCTGCAGGACATTTGTTTCTATCTACACTTGTAGGTAAGTCTTTGTCTTCTACATCTGTCAGACTCTTTATCTGGTAAAATAATAATTTGTGTACTACTCGTATACTGTGCACCTTGGCAGTTTTCTCTGTGTAACCTCGCACTACATCTGACATACAGACTTAGCCTCTACCAGACTAACTACGCTAGGAGAATATTTGCCAGGGGAGTTTGACCGCCTTGTAGGGGTTTGACTGGCCGGAGGGAAAGAAACTACCTCCCGCGGCCGGACTCCCTTGGCCAATTTTACTTAGCATCCTTTTCAGGCGTTCCCGGATCGGTCGTTGTTTTTTTTTTTTTGTCTACAATTGATCAGAAAATACACCCCCCTCCCAAAAAAAGAATGACCGATCCGGGAACGCCTGAAAAGGAGGCTAAATTTTACTGTCTTTTTTGCCGAATTCTATGATCGGCATTCCCGTAGAAAGGCCTGGTGGAGGCTAATACAAACTCACTATATTTGTGGCATAAATTGAACTCGGGGGAGACAGCTGGCATTATGCATTGAATCATCTAATCTCCACAGACTTTGAGTCATATTTTCTCTTTCATTGCCTTCAAGACCATACATATGAATGCAGGGACTAGATGGTAGAAAATATTGTATTTTCATAAAGAGTAGTCTTAGGAATGAGTATGTTTTTGCTAACTCCTACAGACAACCAATACAGGAAATGCTAAGCAGTTGAGAAGACCAGGAAGGAATGTACACCAAAAGTTTCATCATTTCCCCTAAAATATGTACATTTTCATTACATGCATCAGTATTCGTATAGCCAGTGTAACTACATGTACATTGTACCCTTTTTAATTTCTTAATTGTCCGTTTTCTGCTGTCCTTTCTTTTTTTTTAGTTTTTAAACACTCAGTTAAATGATTAAGTGGTTAAGTAGAGGTCAGTTGTTACCAACAATACATTACTGAGATTTCACTTGAAAGTCACATGAAAGCTGCGTTGGTGGGCGATTAAGTATTAGATATTTAATCCAAGGTGCCAGAGGCTCCGTCCAATGTTCTTTTCATAATCCTATAGCTACAAATCAGGATTGTTGCAAGCAAACAAGTTTGCAGAGCAATCAATTACGAACTGGCATGGACTTACGATGATGAAAAAGCCACAGTATTGCTTCTTGGTAACAATTACTTACCTTCAGTTGCTAGACCTTGGAACGTAAACAACGTTAATACGATTCTACTCACTTGAAAGAGCAGAAACTTTGTGGGCATATATATTAGATTGAAGGACAAACTGCGCAGTTGAAGGGCTTGCCTCGCCAGAGTTGTCCCAGACACTTTGAGCTGGCTTCTTAGCACAATCTTCCTACCGGTGTTTGTGTCTCAATACAGTTCTGCAGGACTCTTATTTCTGTCTACACTTGTAGGTACGTATAGATGGTATATAGATGGTATATTTAGGAACTCTGGTGAAAACTATGCAGTAAATTTTTTAGTTACCAACTACCCACCTGCAGATATTAAGTGAACAGTTCCATATCTTGACAATGCTGTTTCAAAGGATTTTGCCAATGAATGACGTGTGTAATCTCAAACATTGTAGGTATATACACCTAAGCTTGGGAGATCAAGTTGTGGAAAGTGGTCCTACGCATAATCTGTCTTCTCCTGTTAACTGCAACTGCCAAGACTGCAAAAAGGTATGCATGACTGTTTTTTTAATATTACTTACATGGCAAATACCCTTGACATTGTGTATACATACATGTTGACATGCCAATTCAATAATGGAACTCAGTTTTTTTTTTCTTTCTCAGCTTTCATCAGATACTTAATACCCACGCACCATTTCTGGGATAAGATTTTAACCATTACATAGGAAACGACTGCCACTAAACCACCAGAGCCAACAACAAAAACAGCAAGGTCTTTACAATATGGCTTCAGCCACTGATTCATATTTATATCATACTGATATCTTATTGGCCGCCTATAAGATATCAGTATGATATAAATATGCGCTAGTAGACAAATTACTTCCAGAATTGATTAATTCCCTCTCTTACAGGCACAATGGGCAGCAAGCTAGAGGGAACGCTACTGGTTCTTCTACTCATCATCTTGAAGGAAACTGGATCAACCGCAGATTGCCGCAGTAGATGCAGCAGATCATCCTGCAGATGCAGAGATATGGGCCTCAGAACTGTTCCCCAGGATCTGCCAACAAGTATCTGTCTACTTGAGTTACAAAAGAATGTCATCACGACCTTGAGTCCACATGCTTTCTTGCGATACAGGAGTTTACAAAGTATAGGTCTGTCCTCCAATAGAATAACCTGCATTTATCCTCATACATTCTCAAATTTACCACAGCTTCAAATGTTATCTCTTGAACGCAACAAAATATCTAACATTGATCCAGGTGTTTTCTCAAATCTACCAGGACTCGGTTGGTTGTACATGTCCTCCAACCAAATTAAATCCCTCCATCCTGCTACATTCTCAAATATGCCACGGCTTGTGTATTTGATACTGTCCAGAAACAACATAACTCACATTCAGGCCGGTACATTCTCAGATTTACCACAGCTGCAAAGGGTGTCGCTGTCCAACAACCAAATAACTCATATTCAGGCCGGTACATTCGCAAATACGCCACAGTTATGTTCGCTAAAACTGAACAACAACCAGATGGTGACTCTGCCATCAACAGCCTATTATAAGTTGTTGGCAATCCGTGGTGTAGACGTCAGCAACAACCCTTGGCAGTGTGACTGTAGGATGCGTCCCTTTAGACTAAAGATGACAGGGTCTGGTTCATTTGAAAATCAGATGATATGTTTTCAACCAGACAGCCTCAAAGGACAAAGGCTGAAACATGTCCATCCTGAAGATCTGAAATGTAGGGAGCCAACCATTGTAAGCTTTCAGAGGGGTGACAGGAACACACTGGCTCAGAAACTGACTCTTCGCTTGGTCTGTCAAGTTTCGGGGACCCCTTCACCAGACGTCACCGTCACCCTCCCATCTGGACTGAATGTAACCGCTGAGTCGGGTGGGAGAATGACTGTGCAGGTGAATGGTACCACCAGTACAATCACCATCACTAACGCTACTTCAGCAGACGCCGGCCTGTACATCTGCACTGCAGCAAATCACGGCGGATCCGCATTTGCCACTCTGTTTGTTGACGTCCAGTTGAATACACCCACGGCCACGGCTAACACAAAGACTCCACCTCTTTCTGGTACCACCAGCACTTCAACCCATCCCACGAACAGCAGCTTCCCTGCGTCTTTTCCCACCTTCTCCCTACCTGTACCTGTTGGCTCTACACCTTCAGAAGACTCTAACCCCGTCCAGTCGCATACGCCCACGGCTAACACAAAGACTCCACCTGTTTCTGACGCCACCAGCACTCTAACCCATCCCACAAACAGCGGCTACCCTGCGTCTTTTCCCACGTTCTCCCTACCTGTTGGATCTACACCTTCAGAAAACTCTAATCCCACTCTCATTGCCACCATCGCTGGTGTAGTAGTTGGCACTGTGCTCATTATTGGTATCATCCTTCTCACAGTTTGTTGTTGGAAGAGGTGGACCAGGAATCGTTCCATTGGCCCAGACCCCGGTGTTGTTGGTTTCAACAGCAGAGACACCACGGCTACTATAACAACCAGTGGCCATGACTAGATGCATCATAATGTCCATTGACACCATTCAATATCTGGCTCCCGAAATTATTGTGTTTGAAACGTTTCAAGGCCAAAAAAATGTGTCTCTTAAAACTATGACAGGCTCGTTGAAAAATGGTCCTATTTCTTCCTGTGACTACTGTCAGAAGACATGTTTGAATACATTTCTGAGATGGTACAAATTACAAAAGCATACACATTAAATCACCAAAGCTGAAATATGAACATGAAAATAATAAAGGACAAAGACTTAAGCGTTTACTATATAATAGGTTGGTAGACACAGTCTGAGATTAGACTTTTCCTCTTCATGATAAGTTCAGTTAAGTTTATCTGACACTCTCTATTTCATGTTGCCCTCTAACTACAATTGCTTTTAATGAGCTATGCTGTGGCCTAACATACCAAGCTGCTACAATGAACATATTAAATCATGTATACTGAGCTGAATTTAGAGGCAAGATGTGAACAGATGTGCATATTGTGTGGAAACTCGTGGAAACAGATTCTAAATTTCAAGGACAGGAACTTCTCTAAGCAATGAAAGACGAACGGTTCTGGTTGTGGAAAATTAAACTTCGTTTGCTACTCTTCTTTTGAGGATGATGATTCACATCATAATGTACATATACTTATATAGATTAATAGGCCTTTAATACAGGATATTGACCTTTCATTCCAATGATCATTGTGCTTTTAAAGGACAGGTGGATTTCTGACACTGTACATAGAACCTGTATATATGCTATACATATTTATGGCTTCACCACACCACGAAGTGGTGTGGTGAAACCATATTGCTTTTTCTGATGTTTCTTCTTCTTCTTCTTCTTCTCCTCCTGCCATTTTTTAAATGGATTCAGCTTCTTCATTTTGGGGCCTAAGGACCTGAAATTTGGTATGGAGGTACAGTGGGCAAATACCCCCAGGCGTTTTTAAAATTTTGGTGATACAGGCTTTTAGAATGGTTTTATTTGAGCTTTTTGGCTGTGTTATAGCAAATGTATTACTGTGCTGTGTACCACGTTTGGGCATGAGTCATCACAATGGAATGCAGGGCATCAACCAATAGGCATGCAGCTTTCCTCTATTCTTCTTGCTGATTGGCTGTTGGGATTTAACTTGATTAACACTTGCACAGAGCATTTCCACCTGCACAGAGCATTTCTTGCTGATTGGCTGTTGGGATTTAACTTGATTAACACCTGCACAGAGCATTTTCATACTGACAGTATGTCTGTATTCAAGTGTTTTGGTAGGTATTTCAAGCTTTCCTGCTCCAGCATTGGAATGCGGGGCATGAACGTTTTTTTTTTATTTTGAAAATCAACAGTTTGCATTATGCAATTAAAAATCCTAACCAATAATGTAGGGAATAGCTATCCAACTGTTGTTTTAGTTGTATGTTACTTCATATTATAGTTATATCAATGTAAATCATTGTTTTCCCTTGTGTTTCTCATTCTTTCCCTACCATGTCGTAAAATGTGGTGAAGCCATCGCTGTATTTGCTCCTAAGCAAATATTGGCCTTTCTAGTGTTTATCCTCTATTATCTAGGTCTGTGTAGCCTGTGTAGCTGAACAAAGCTGATAGGTTGCAGTACGGTTGGAACCTAACTGACCACAATTATGTATATATCCAACTACCGTACGTTTGGGACCGCATTGTAGTCACGTATATGTGTAGATATGTAAATATTGTACGTTTGGCAATGCATCTATAGCAGCGACACCTGTGCTGCAGTGCAATGTGAACCAGTCAGAATTGCCCTGAGGAAGGTGACAGACGGTCACTGAAACGTCACTGAAACGTCGGCTGAATAAAAGACTTGGTTGTGTAACAACTCTTTACTCAGTGACTTACCAACCTGATGAAACTATTCAGGGAAGAAGCTGATAGGTAGAGGTTAGGCGGCTCTAGGACCAACGGGGCAAATCTTTTTTACGCTGGGCTTTCATTCTATTTGACTAGACCCTGAATCTGAAGTTACTCATTTAGCGGTTCTGTAGTTTATATATTTTCATATATTCACTTTTCAACATGAATTGATTGGATGAATCAGGGTGTTTCAATGTTTTGCACATATTCTTCACATCTGCAACCAGACCAGTGTTATAAACAAACACATATTCAAAAAGAACATTTATTCGCAACAAACGCATGTTAGCATAATACACTATACATACTTTAAGACTAAACATTAGGCTCTATATAGAGTCTATAACATGTATCTGAAACCTCTATTGCTAAAAAATGTGATACATATAGTAGAATATCAGCAAAAAAAACTTCATGCACTAACTCTAACACCTAGGACACGCATTAGTCAGAAACAAGAAATAGTATACTAGTACTTAAAAAATTCAATCTATTAGTATAAATATTCAGGTTAACAGAATGAACAATAAAATGGTAGTATTGGATGGTAATCCTTCCATGAAAACAAAACTCTCTTCCTCTATAACAAAAGAACTTTAAACAAATGAACAAGGGTTATTCAGCTCAATGTACAGTACTAAGTTATGGTATATCAGTAAAGTTGTTAATGCTACAAACTAAATGCACGAAATGCAGTCCAATGTTTCCAAGGAACAAAACATTATGAGAAAGACACTAAAGCAAACTTTACAGTTTTCTAAGTAAACTTGCTCACAAATGTATATGTCTTGTACAACATGAAAGTGCTTTGAGTATTTTTTTGGATTTCCTATATGGTATCCACCTTCTCTAGGTCTGCACACGAGTTATTCCACAATCTCCCACCTAAGAGTTCGCAGGTGTCTCTTGCAATGTATGACCCATGTGACTAAACAGTCTGCTGAGTATGCAAGCTGGATAATTCATAGGACCAGGCTCACAACTCAATCCTCAAAACTGTGAGGTTTAGTACTCCTCAGTTACACCTGTAAGTTTTCTCAAAAGTGTGTCTGCATGTGTCTCTTCAGATTACCTTGCTGACGGAACTGCCTGCTGCACTTCTTACACTTGTAAGGTTTCTCCCCTGTGTGAGTCCGCATGTGTGTCTTGAGATTACAGAGATGACTGAACTGCCTGCTGCACTCCTCACACCCATAGGGTTTCTCACCTGTGTGGGTCCGCATGTGCTTTTTAAGACTATCCAAGACACTGAACTGCTTGCTACACTCCTCGCACCTGAAAGATTTCTCTCCTGTGTGAGTTTGCTTGTGTGCCTTGAGATGACCCAGCTGAATGAACTGCCTGCTGCACTCCTCACACTTGTAGGGTTTCTCCCCTGTGTGAGTCCGCATGTGTGCCTTGAGATCACACAGGTTACTAAACTGCCTGCTGCACTCCTCACACCTGTAAGGTTTCTCACCTGTGTGAGTCCGCATGTGCTTCTTCAGAGTACCCAGTTCACTGAACTGCCTGCTGCACTTCTCACACCTGTAAGGTTTCTCACCTGTGTGAGTCCGCACATGGGTCTTCAGAATACCCAGCTGACTGAACTGCCTGCTGCACTCCTCACACTTGTAGGGTTTCTCACCTGTGTGAGTCCGCATGTGTGTCTTGAGATTACACAGCTGACTGAACTGCCTGCTGCACTCCTCACATCTGTAAGGTTTCTTTCCTGTGTGAGTCCGCATGTGTTTCTTCAGATGACACAGATAACTGAACTGCCTGTTGCACTCCTCACATCTGTACATTTTTGTGGCAGATCTCCCATCCGATCCAATTTTGATGCCATCAGAGCCACCGCTGTTTGTTGCCATGATAACAAAAGCCGAACTCACCTCTGTAGTCCTGGAGCATGAATATGAAAACATTTAATTTTAAAAGTGTCCATCTACCCATGTAGGACATATATTATGCTAACCATACAAACATTAATGTTGAAGAAACTACCAAACAGCCCTTACAATGTATATTTGCATAGAGAAGAAAGAGGATTGCTTACGGGTACTTGCTATCCGTTTGTTTGAACCATTATCTATTAATGCAAAACTCGGCCTGTATGGTCAAAATTTAAGACACTTCTTCTCAAATATAAATAGAAGAGCTAGCACTGATGCAATAATTATCATCATTGCTTATCCAGAACCTTTGTCCAAATACAACATAAAAACATCAGAAGTTCTACTGCAGTTCCTAGGAAATCTGCCATATTGCTAAAAACATAAATTTTTTTCAGTGGGACAAGATTATACCAAATTTCATGACAATCCACCCAAAGCCTATTGAGATATGCTGCTAAACCACATACATACAAATGCAACTAAACATGTACATAAATTTCTTAGAATAATAATATGTTCTTACCTGCAAAAGATCTTTTACACAGTCAAGTCTTGAGCTGCTACACCAGAGTACTGATGTCTGGAAGAACACAGGTGAAGCCTCACTGTTTTCCCTTTCAGCAGGGCAGGCAGCACTACTGGACTATAGAATCCTGTTTTCCCTTTCAGCACTACCGGACTATGGAAACCTGTTTCTCTTTCAGCACTACTGGACTGTGGAATCCTGTTTCCCTTTCAGCACTACTAAAGTTCTATGGAATCCTGTTTCCCTTTCAGCACTATTGGACTATGGAATCCTGTTTCCCTTTCAGCAGTACCGGACTAAGGAAACCTGTTTCTCTTTCAGCACTACTGGACTGTGGAATCCTGTTTCCCTTTCAGCACTATTGGACTATGGAATCCTGTTTCCCTTTCAGCACTACTGGACTATGGAATCCTGTTTCCCTTTCAGCACTACTGGACTATGGAATCCTGTAGAAAATGGAAAATAAAAACTGTGATAAAAGAGTCTGCATTTCTGTCAAATATCCCCTCAGTCGACAAAGTTTTCTTTTAGATAGTGAATCACCCCTAACTACTCCTCAATCAATAACACAACATATATGAGAGTTAATGAACCTCCCCTGACTCCAGGCCTTTCCTCCGTGATAGAAACCAGATGTCTGGGTGGAATACCGTTATAAGGCACATTTGGGGGTTTCCACAACATTCTATCTCAAAAGAACTTCCAAATTTCAACCCCAAAATTACCCTTTGTCTGTAAAATCAACTGTTGATTATAGAAAGTCGTTTGTATTATATTTGTACAATAAGCAAGCACTCTTGTTGTCGTGTTTGATTTCCAATATTTAAGGAGACCGCATAACCCCTTCTAGACCGTCGCTGAGGTGTCAACAACTTTTTCTCAGAGACAAATTTGGAAACGATCTACGCCATTTTGCACCTACAAGGGCTCAACAAAACCAAAGAAAGTTTGCGTGTGTGTGTGCTGCTCTATATAAACTTTGTTGTTTGTGACAGAAACTTGTTTACAAACAAGAAATCGTTGCTTTTCGATCAGTATAGAACTTCTCACAAGCGACACACACGTCGCTAGCGGCTGGCTAGTGACAGACTCAGAGAGCGTAAAACAAACTTGTACGTGTTATTCTCCCGTCACATCGATGACTGTAGAGTAGACAAGCTCTTGGTACGTACCTGAGTTGTATGTAGAACGAAATCCCGACGATTTGAACCGAAAAAGGCTCGTAGAAAGACGACGAGAAACCCTCGATACTTTCTTCCACACCACGACACGTCTGGTGGACGGAGACACGGGGGTTAGCGGAATGAGCTCCGCGGAGATGGGATTCCTAAGGCGGCAAAGCGGGGCGTTGCGGAGTTCAAATTCTTGTGGCAGATTTTTGAAACTTTGTCAAGAGATTACTTTCGCGAAGACTGTAGAGCTAGGAAGATTAGCTCTTCATTATTTTCATAAAATGTACGGCCAGCCTTCATGAAAGAACAAGGTAAATCTCAAGTTTTCAAGTTAAGTCATAAAGAACCAAAAGTCAGACGGCTATGTTACTTCATCTTTATTTGTTGTGTATACTGATTGCCGATACCCTCACGTTCAGAAGAGGTCGTATTTTAGTTTCTTTTTTGTCTAGTCTGCTTAGCCTGATTATTTTTCCACAAAGGGAATAAAAGCATTTTGGCAAGTACACAGCTTTAAAATTTGGCACAAATTACTTGCGTTACATAAATGATTAAAAACACACGTTGTATTGCCGATTGACGAAAATACATACTATATATAAACTGGTCAATGCTTCGTATAAAATTCGTCCAATCTCTTTCCCAAGCGTAATTTGCATAATGCCAGAGGCATCTAGGAGTCTACTGAGACTTGAGCTTGCCGCCACCTTTAGTGCAAAACTTCCTACAGACGAACAAACAGCCGCACCACACGGTCCCCGGGACAGCTGAACAGACGCTGGTGATACTAAATGGAACATGAGTTCTGTTCTAATGACCGCCAAAGATTTACGTGTTATACATGGTTTTGAACCGGTATGTTCTGGGTAACACTGTATCTTTATTTGTCATGTATGGAGAATCACGTTTAAGAACTTATCTTATCCCCTAACGCTATTTGCATAATGCCAGCTATTTATGAGTCTACTGAGACTTGAGCTTGCCACCACCGTTAGCACAACACTTCCTACAGACGAGCGAACAGCCGCACCACAAAGTCACCAGGACAGCTGAACAGACGGACAGCAGGAGCGCGGCCACGTCCAGCAGGTAGTACTGGTACCACGGCAGCTCCACGGCGCGTGCGCGGAGATGGGGCAGCCGGCCGTGTTGGATGACGTGTTCTATCCACCAGACGGCCCGCTCCATGGGTGACTGGGGCTGGTCACGGTGCAGACGGGACAGGCGGGCGGCCGTCTCATGGTAGCTGCGAAGGGTAGAAAAAGGAGCAAATCTAGATCTCTCTCTTTATATAAAAGGAACATTAATAGAAGTATGACAGTAGATAGACAGCTCTCCCTATTGTATATCAAACACACACACAACTATGCAGTCATCAAATTTGAACTCAAACTCTTCTGAACCACATTTACTACAAGTATACATGAAGTATACCAATCCCTGTATACCCAATCGTAGCCTGGGTGCCAGACTGTTTCCAGGGCCTACAAAGGCGAGTTCCTTGGCTCCAGGGCCAACATGCATATTCCCCCAAGGAAAAGTATACCACAGCCCTCCTTAGGTAATAGGCACGCTGGCTAAATAACTCTAGATCTGGGTCTAGCGTACCATGGGTCTGACATCCAGGCTAACCCAACCGACATCATCAGTACCTGTTGTTGGTGAGAACAAGTAGAATGGCCTGGTACAACTGGTCTGCGGTGACCGTGCTAAAGTCCAGCGTCACCCCCAGCCCCCTGGCCACCACCCGGGCGGCGTTGGCGGGCTCGTCAGCGAACAGCGGCAGGCAGACCATGGGCACGCCGTGGTGCAGGGCCTCGTACACTCCGTTCAACCCGGCGTGAGTGACGAAGACTCGGGTCTTTGGGTGGGCTACAACAAACGCAGCAAGTCAGTATTAGCAAATCGTATGGGAAATGTATAATATAAATAAGAAACCTAAAACCCGGAAAATATTACAGACACAAAACCGCATAACACGATTGCTTGATGGCTTATCATAAAGGTTCATCTGTGCTGGTATTACGTAGTTACATGTTTATAGCCAGTCAAAACATCTGTTTTAACACAATGGATTGTTCTTACCTAGAGCTTTGGACCATTCAGCTATTTTCTTCTGTCAATCGCGACGGGGGCCGACATTGTTTACCGGATATTTTTGACCCAGTGACTTCAGAGAAACCATGTGACAAGTCTCAATGGGCCAGTCTATAAGACTAGACTGGATGAAAGCTCTAAGGCAATTCCGTTGGAATTGTGTTGGAACAAAGGTTTCAACGTTAAGTTTTCATCATTATCTTCCAACCTTACCCAGTAGGTCGTTCTGAGGCAGCCACCCCAGCAGCTTGGTGTTGTTGCCCAGCCCGGCCGGCTTCTCTCCCACGTAACGCCACACCACCTTCTGTCGGAGTCGGGCGAAGGCCGCCGCGAAGATTTCTCTTTTATCTTTCGACATCGTCTTGACCATGGAGCCGAAACTGACGACAATCACTCCATCCTCTCCAGAGCTCTGGACAAACGTTTCCGTGTCCTGTGAAACGATACACCACCACTTGTGAGTTTTCTTGAATTTCAATCGATATCCACCAACTTTTATCACCGAGAATCTCTATCCGATATCCACCACTCGCTGGAATCTAGTAACACACACACACACACGCACGCACGCACACACACTGGCACACATCCATGTCCTTCAATGGTATTGAACACTACCCCCCTAACATTTCCACAGACATACACCGTCACACACATACACACACACACACACACACACACACACACACACACAAACACACACACACACAAACACACACACACACACACACACACACATGCACACACATACACACCGTGACAAACACACACACACACACACACACATTCAACGCGATTGAAAATAATACCTCGGACCCGGAAGTAAAGATAGGGGCCAGCCATGCTTGCATATTGGCCTAGACGAGCGTGTATACTAAATACATGTAGCTGCAACCTGCCTGTTCAACTCACCTCAGTAAGTGGGTCGGCCTCACGGACATTCAGTCCCCCAACCTGAACCATGTTGGGCATGATGGGGCGAGGAAAATCCAGCACATTGTCGGTTAGATAAAGCCACAAGTCCGTACGTGACGTGACGCTCTGGATCGTTTCTTCCTCGCCGACGTACTTACGGACTAGTTCGTCATAGAGGCTACTCGCTCCCCAGCGTGATATCATAGGTAAGAAAGTGTACAGTAAGACGTTCTGAAGTCGCTGTGCAAAGCTCATGTCATCGGTAAAGTCCGTGGCCAAAGAAGGCACGTATGACGGAGGAAGAGGCACACCGGTAGCTTTTTCGTCAAGGCAGTTTGGATCCCCGCGCATAAGGGCGATGTGGGGAACCCGGAAGTGAGCTGAGAGGACAGCGCCGCAAGGAAAGAGGGGGTCAGAAATAACAACACTGTACTGGGATACCCTTAACCGACCCAGCAAGTTACTGTCACCCAGAAGAAGTGCGCAGTAGTTTCTAAACTCTCCGAACGCAGTGACGAATATGTCTCTTAGTTCATAGAGGGACAATATCCTGGCCACAGAATGTACGTTGTCTTGTAGTGTCTTGAGCCTTGCTTCGATTCCCTGGTCTTGGAATGCCTCAAACTGAAAGTCAGGCCACTCTGTTCGTCGTTTTTCCACAATGTCCTCCGACACAACCACAGTGACGAGATGACCTTTCTCCACCAAAGCGCGGCCAACTTTGGCCAGAGCCATCCAGTGGCTTTTGCCTCTTGGGGGCGGTACAAGCAGGACCTTCTCTGAACTACAGGAGTCTATGGTGTTAAAACCCAGGAAAACTAGCAGAAGAACGGCGGGACAGCGAAGCTTTGACGCGATTTCCATGTCGCTGTCCTTGCCTGTGTTCCAACAACGCTGGGGAGGTGATCAAATTTCATGTGACAAGGGCAAAGTGCGTAGAGGTCAAAGGCAGTGTTTTCCCAGCATGCACCAAGTTCCAAGGATGTTTTTACAAACTGAGTCCCGGGACAGGCTCCCCGGGAGTCTTTGTCTACGTGCTTTGTTTGCACTTACGTTACATGAAATTGGATCACCTGTCCAGCGTCGTGGAAAAGGAGTGAAGAGCAGCGACATGGAAATCGCGTCGAAGCTTCGCTGTTCCGCCGTTCTGCTGCTAGCTTTCCTTGGTTTTAACAGTCTCATAGACTCCTGTAGTTCAGAGAAGGTTCTGCTTGTGCCTCCCCCAAGAGGCAAAAGCCACTGGATGGCTCTGGCCCGACTCGGCCGTGCTTTGGTGGACAGAGGCCATATCGTCACTGTGGTTGTTTCAGAGGACATCGTGGAAAAACGACGAACAGAGTGGCCTGACTTTCAGTTTGAGGCATTCCAAGACCAGGGAATCGAAGCAAGGCTCAAGACACTACAAGACAACGCACATTCTGTGGCTAGGAAATTGTAACTCTATGAACTAAGAGAAATATTCGTCCCTGCGTTCGGAGAGTTTAGAAACTACTGCGCACTTCTGCTGGGTGATAGCGGCTTGCTTGCCCGCCTGAGGGCCTCCCGGTACAGCGTTGTTGTTTCTGACCGCATTCCCTTGCGGCGCTATCCTGACAGCTCATCTTGACTTCCGGCGGGTTCCCCACATCGCTGTCACGATGCGTGGGGATCCTTACTGTCTTGACGAAGTAGCTACCGGTGTGCCACTGCCTATGTCATACGTGCCTTATTTAGGTACCGACTTTACCGATGATATGAGCTTTACACAGCGACTTCAGCATGCGATCCTGTACACTTTTGTACCTGTGATAGCACGCTGGGGCGCGAGTAGCCTCTATGACGAACTGGGCCAGAAGTATGTCGGCGAGGAAGAAACTATTCAGAACGTCACGTCACGTACGGACTTGTGGCTTTATCGAACCGACAATTTGCTGGATTATCCTCGTCCCAGCATGCCCAACATGGTTCAGGTTGGGGGACTGAATGTCGGTGTGGCCGCCCCACTGACCAAGTTGAGTTGAATGGGCAGCTATGGTTGCAGCTATTTAGTTTACAAGCTCGTCTACTAAGGCCAATATGCAAGCAAGGCTATCTTTACTTCCGGGTTGGAGGTATTGTCTTCAGTCGCGTTAATTAAATGTATGTGTGTGTGCGTGTGTGTGTGTGTGTGTGTGTGTGTTTATGTGTGTGCGTGTGTGTGTGTGTGTCTGTGTGTGTACGTGGTGGTGTATGTCTGTGTCAGTGTTATTGGATAGTGTCCAGCATGAAGGACAGGGATGTGTGTGTGTGTGTGTGTGTGTGTGTGTGTGTGTATGTGTGTGTGTGTGTGTGTGTGTGTACTAGCTTCCAGCGAGTGGTGGATATCGCATGGAGATTATCGATGATAAAAGTTGGTGGATCGATTGACATTCGAGAAAACTCAGAAGTGGTGGTCTATCGTTTTACAGGACATGGAAGCGTTTGTCCAGAGTTCCGGAGAGGATGGAGTGATTGTCGTCAGTTTCGGCTCCATGGTCAAGACGATGTCGAAAGATAAAAGAGAAATCTTCGCGGCGGCCTTCGCCCGACTCCGGCAGAAGGTGGTGTGGCGTTACGTGGGAGAGAAGCCGACCGGGCTGGGCGACAACACCAAGCTGCTGGGCTGGCTGCCTCAGAACGACCTACTGGGTAAGATTGGAAGATTATGATAAAGGCGTAACGTTGAAACCTTTGTTCCAACACAAGGAATTGTTCTCACCTAGAGCTTTCATCCTGTCACTCTGGTCTTCGTCAATAGACTGACCCATTGAGATTTGACACATGGTTTCTCTGAAGGCACTGCGTCAAAGATATCCTGTAAACAATGTCGCGCTTGAGTGATGGAAATAGCTGAATGGTCGAAAGCCCTAGGTGAAAACAATCTCTTGTGTTAGAATAGATGTTTTAACTAGCTTTTAAACACGTAACTAACTACCAGCACAGATGAACTTTGATGATGAGCCATCAAGCAATCGTGTTATGCGGTTTTGTTTCTGTAATATTTACCGGGTTTCAGGTTTCTTTCATATATTATACATTTCCCATACGATTTGCTAATACTGACTTGCTGCGTTTGTTGCAGCCCACCCAAAGACCCGAGCCTTCGTCACTCACGCCGGGTTGAACGGAGTGTACGAGGCCCTGCACCACGGCGTGCCCATGGTCTGCCTGCCGCTGTTCGGGGACCAGCCCGCCAACGCCGCCCGGGTGGCGGCCAGGGGGCTGGGGGTGACGCTGGACTTCAGCACGGTCACCGCCGACCAGTTGTACCAGGCCATTCTACATGTTCTCACCAACAGCAGGTACTGCTGATGTCAATTGCGTTTTGCCAGATCCATAGCATGCTAGGCCCATTAGCCGCCGTGCCTATTACCTAACTAATGGGGGCTGTGGTATAATTTCCTTGGGGGCATGTTAGCCCTGGAGCCAAGGAACTGGCCTGTGTAGGCCCTGGAAAAACTCTGGCACCCAGGCTACGATTGAGTATTCAGGATTTGGTATACTTCGAGTATACTTTTCTTCAATGGGGTTCAGAAGAGATTGAGTTCAAGTTTGTGTCAAAAACTGATGTACTACAGAGAAGAGAGTCTACTAGCATTATCATACTTTGTCTTAATGTTTACTTTAGAGAGATTTGCTCCTTTTTCTACCCTTCTCAGCTACCGTGAGACGGCCGCCCGCCTGTCCCGTCTGCACCGTGACCAGCCCCAGTCACCCATGGAGCGGGCCGTCTGGTGGATAGAACACGTCATCCAACATAGCCGGCTGCCCCATCTCCGCGCACGCGCCGCGGAGCTGCCGTGGTACCAGTACTACCTGCTGGACGTGGCCGCGTTCCTGCTGTCCGTCTGTTCAGCTGTCCTTGGGACCGTGTGGTGCGGCTGTTCGCTCATCTGTAGAAGGTGTTGTGCTAAAGGTGGTGGCAAACTCAAGTCTCAATAGACTCCTAGATACACCTCTGATATTATGCAAATAGCACTAAGGGATGAGATAATTTCTTAAACGTTATTCAAGACCCTGTCAATCACCGGACACGTGTGAAAGAACTCCTGTATAACACGTAAATCTTTGGCGGTCATTAGAACAGAACTCATGTTCCATTTAGTATCACCAGCGCCTGTTCAGCTGTCTCAGTAGACTCTCTGGCATTATTCAAGTAGCGCTAAGGATAAGATGACGCATTAAACGTAAGGAATTCTGACAATATACACGACAAATGAAGATGTAGTCTGACCCAGGACATACCGGTTTAAGACCCAGTCAATCAAACCTGTAAATTTTCGGCGGTCATTGGAACAGAACGCATGTTCCATTTGGGGTCACCAGCGGACATTGCTGCGTTCCTGCTGTCCGTCTGTTCAGCTGTCCCGGGGACCGTGTGGTGCGGCTGTTCGCTCGTGTGTAGGAAGTGTTGCGCTAAAGGTGGCGGCAAGCTCAAGTCTCAGTAGACTCCTAGATGCCCCTGGCATTATGCAAATTGCGCTTGGGAAAGAGATTGGACGAATTTTATACGAATCATTGACCAGTTTATACAGCATGAGTTTTCGCCAACCTGCAATTCAACGCGTGTTTTTAATCAATATGTATCAATATGTAATTTGTGAGATATTACGTCAAAGCTGTGCACTTCAGCCACCAGGCTGCCAAAATACTTTTATTCTCTCTGTGGAAAAATAATCCTAAGCAGACTAGACTACCAAAAAAAAAAACAACCCTAAAATACGACCTCTTTTGAACGTGAGGGTATTGGCAATCAGTATACACAACAAATAAAGATTGAAACATATAGCCGGGCTGACTTCTGGTTCTTCGTGATTAAACTTGAAAACTGATTAACTTTGTTCTTACATTAAGGCTGTATGTCGTAAATTTGCGAAAGGAAGAGCTAATCTTCCTAGCTCTACAGTCTTCGCGAGAGCAATCTCTTGACAAAAGTTCAAAAACTGCCACAAGAATTTGAACTCCGCGGACAATAGGCACCGCCTCCGCTTTGCCTCATTAGAAATCCCATCTCCGCGGAGCTTATTCGGCTAACCCCCGTGTCTCCGTCCACCAGACGTGTCTTGGAGTGGAAGAAAGTATCGAGGGTTTGTGACGCGCCGGATTGAGTACTTAGAATGCTCCATACAAAAAGTCGTTGTACGGTCACGATACGTCAAATGAGGCTGGTTTATGTGTTCCCGTGATGTCAACGAGTCAGACCACCGTGTGTGGGTCAGTTGGAAATTCAAAAATCACTGGAAGACGAGATATGTCCCGTCAAAGTTGACCTTCTAAGTACTCATTTTGGCGTGGTTTTCTGTGTTTGCGGTCTGCATGGGGGTTTTCAGGACTACCGCTGTCTAGTCTACTTCCGGGTCAAACCACTCCCCCTAACAGCTGCTAATACGCGTATGTGTGCTTATACTTGGACGGCGATTGCGTTCGATACGGATGTTCTGGCCAGTGTTATAACTAACAGTACGGCCCGCAGTCTCTTTTGTTATCACACATGCTTCCAAATGTTTCATAGAATAACGCGAACGGCCCCCGTTACACAAAAAGTGTAACGGTCGGGTTGGTACGTTGGGCAATGCGGCATACACAGCGTAGTATGGCACCATGGCATTGATTGTGCCCGGGCGGGCACCATGGCATTGATTGTGCCCGGGCGGGCACCATGGCATTGATTGTGCCCGGGCGGGCACCATGGCATTGATTGTGCCCGGGCGGGCACCATGGCATTGATTGTGCCCGGGCGGGCACCATGGCATTGATTGTGCCCGGGCGGGCACCATGGCATTGATTGTGCCCGGGCGGGCACCATGGCATTGATTGTGCC